ATATGGTTCCAACTGGCTTAGAAAGAAAAAAATATCTGTTAAAGAGGACATAAGTTTGTTGGTAGAGTGCAGTAGCAGGGGGCTAACTCATTGATTGGACACCTTTCCACTAGATGACTTTGCAGTGAATAGACAGAAATTTTAAACATTGACAAACCATAAAAACAAAGGCCAGGCAACCACTGAAAACAAATTAAAAAGTAAGACTGCTTTAAAAAACTTGGTCATAGAACAGTTTCTCTCTCTTTTTTTCATTATCTTCCCATCTCTTTTATTTCAACACAATCTGCACTCCTAACAGTATGTTGTTCAAGTCTGGCCATGCTTATGACCAACAGTGCTTTAATTAACAATGTGGTGATAGAGCAAATACTTTTCCTTCTTATAAAACTGTCTTTGCTTGTATGGCATGACTCAGTATTTCCACATTTGTTGAAAACTATCCATGAAACATCAGCATTTCAGTTAAATATTGCTGTTACTTTGAAGAAATCTAGCTAGCAAGTGAAAGGTGAATTTCTGGCAGGTGTACATGGAAGCCACTCTGTTAAAGACAATGGGCTGCTTTCACCCAAACAGACCCTGTATTTGACACAGTAACTACTAACAATTCCCAAATTCAAGATGCATTTGGCAGCTGGAAAAGGAGACAGCGGCCAACATTTAATTTGCCTTAATTTATCATCCTGGCTAAATCTTTAATATAAAGGCACAGCCATCAGATATGCCAAAATCCTATCCAGTGTGCTGTGGGCATACTTTGGTTACAGGAAACCTTTTTGTCTATTCCCATTATGTACGTACATCACAATTCACCCTAATGGACCACTCTTCTGTACAGTCCTGTATTAGTGGACCTTGGATAAACAGACCTAGTATGATTCTGCTCTACAGGCAGGTGGATGAAAAGAGTAAGGGATGCCCACAATCCACATGTACATCTGTTTCCTGATGCACTAATGGATTTGGAGGACTGGGTATCTGTACCTTCACCAGGGTTTGGGGACCATGCAAGCCACCATTTAATGAAACAACATGGTAATAGTTAAGAGGCCCTACAGACTGAGGTTGGCTGAGGATTCCCCCAGATTTTGGATTTGGGTTTGCTCAACCTGCACAGAACAAAAGGATTTAGTCCAAAAACAGAGACCTTATGGCTTAAGCAACATCCTCTCTATCCATATACTGTGATCTGCAGCAAATCCTAAGAGACTGATCTACTAGAGCTTGATCCAAAGCTTACTGAAATCAATAGAGTCGAGAATCACACAACCAGTTGCATACAAAATACCCGAGCTACCAAGCTGATTTCCTTCAGATTTTATGGCTTAGGCACCTGAGCTAGAGTCTTGCTCACCAGAGCCACAAGTTTAGTATTCATTTGTATTAAAAAAAAAAGTGAAGTGAAATTTATAGAGAAGTTAATTTTCAGCATAATATGTGAGAATTAAACTCCACTTCACAGGAGTCATGTACATAATCCATATCCATCAAATTAAGTGAATCCATGTAAGTGCAAACAGATGTATCATGTCGAGATCAATACTTTACTGAATCATTGTTCACTGAGCTAACAATGTTCCGAATCATAAATTCCCCAGCTATTGATAATATGCAAAGGAATCCCCTCTTCATGACTTTAACCTCTGATGTATGCCAGCATTATCCACTCATGAGATCAGAAATCTGACTTAGCACAGCAGAATTGGTAAAATTACAGACTAGCCTCCTCTGGTGATCAGAACACTCACATTCAACATAATTCATCATGAGGAATTTTACAAATGTTTTTATAATCGCATGTGACAAGAGCACAAGAAACGTGGCCCACGCTAAATATTAAGCAAAGAAGAATTGCTTACATATCCGTATGGCTCTGGAAAAGTGAGAGCTAAAATGAAGGCCAAATGACTTTTTTTTTTTTTATTCATAATTTAAAGCTCATGGAGTGTGACACACTGGCAATTCTAGAAATTGATGGATTTTAGTCATCAAGGAGATGCAAGCAGAAGCAGCCAGAATCCAAGCTTTCCTTCCAATATGGCCCAACCCATCCTCTGGAAGGACCACCTATAAGTGAAGTTAGTATGTTCTTCATAGCCATTCGGTTCTTAGGGCCTCGCTACACATTGCACTTTAAGTTTATCAGATGCTGACTGATGTTCATGTTAGTTTGGGTTTAGAGCAGTTACACATTCAGGTAAAAAGCTTTCTCTGACTATCCCCAACTTGCAGCTTTAACTTGCCGCTCAAGGCCTGGTGAGCTGGGGCCCGACTAGGAGCTACAGCTGTGAGCTGTCCACACAGAACAGGAGAGTGAGGGGAAGGGACTAGGAATGTGAAAGGTTAAACATTTAAATGAGAAGTATATTTATACTGGTAATGCATCACCGGGTAACATTTAGCATGGGGTGCAATCCAGAGGGAAGGGAAGCAGTGCGGTGCCTCAGGAACAGGAAGATGGCAGGATAGGCTAGGAGGGATGGAAAGATGAGCGAGGAGGAAGGGAATGGGAAGAGGGAGAGGGCAAGGGTGGGGAACTAATACCTATAACTAGTCTACTCCCTCTTTCCCAATGCACTGGCAGCTGCAGTGTGCTGGGAAAGCCCCTCGCCTGTTGCTGCTGCCCAGGGATTCACATGGGCTGGGTTGTCTGGCAGGGCTTGATGTTACCTCTTCCCCACTCATCAAGGGCCCCAGGGAAAGTGTCCCAGCAGCAGCTGTATCCAAGTGAGTCTTTGCGCAGCTCACCCAGATTCCTGCGCTGCTTAGGGCAGGCGGCTGTGGCTCCTTCCCCTGCAGTGGGGTGGGGCAAGGCAGGCAGTTGCCCAAGGCTCCGCATTCCCCAGCCAGGACTAGTTATGCATTATCAGCTAACCATTTCATCAATATAATTAGAGGAGGAAAAATGGATATTTTTAAAATTATATTTACATCCCTAGATGGGACACTGCATCCTGGGATACTGGAAAACTGAAACTTGGGTGGCTTATCTCTGGGGAGTGGCCACACATTTGTGGAACATGAGCTGGGTAACACGGAACAGAGATAAATCTGCCCTGGAATGGCATAATTTTAAGCCACCCAAAGGCAGCTTAAAACTAGTTTACATGTCTTAATGCATCAACAATCCAGAGTTTAATAGCTCCCTGAACCACCTAAAATTAATATGCAACAAAGACCTTATGCTCTCTACTGACACAGTCAGCATGGATGCCAATTGGTGCTGAGTGTAATAAGATTCTGTGCAATGTAGAAACTTACCCATTATGAATTGATCTTTGTGTAGGGACTAGGTTGTCATGATGCTATGACATGCAATGCAATGTTAGACCTAGTGCCTACAAATTTGTTACTCTGTGCTCCCCGATCTCGGGTCTATAAAGAGTTTAATACAAAACTGAAGACATTCCAGCAAGTACGTGGCTTCTGAATACTAAAAATATTTGGTTGCTTTAATCTTTATATTTCTGCAAAAAGATAACTCACAGGTTTTCCATCTTTTTCACTGTTTACTTGAGCATTGGGCATAGATTAGAAATTATGGTACAGGCTCTCAATTTATAGTCAACTACAACTATCCTAAGTCCATTTATGCATATGCAGTCAAAATTCTCCATGCATACCTGCACCTGTGCACAAGGAATTTCTACAAAATTAAGGCAAGGAAGAATCAAGGCCCTAAGAATTCAGGAAGGAGGTACTGAGCAGTACAATCTATTTCAGTATCTATCACCATATTATTAAAGAAAAGAGTGACAACAACTGATTAGAAATACAAATTCAAATAAACAAGAAGCAGATAAACTAAATTGCCACCAACTTTTTATGCAGGGAAAAAAATCAAAAGCTTTGCAGGAGTCCATACCCTACTCCTTAAATGGCTTTCCTGAACTATGGTTCCTTAAATAACTCCTGAGTCAACTGTCTGACTTCATGACTAGGAATCTTGGAATTACTTTCATACTGGATCAGCCCACTGGTCCATCGCTGGCAATAGCTTTTACTTCAGAGCCAGGTGAAGCCCGCCCATTAACTTAACTTGCCAGAATTCATGTCCCATTAGGAGGGAATAGTTTGTTCCCAATCTTGACAGATTATCAGTTTACAGCCCAGAGCATAAAATTAAATTACCCTTATATCATGTACACAGCTGCAAATGTTATTAACGAGCATAAAATTGTCCAGTCCTTTTAAAAATCTTGTTATGCCATCTTCCTTAATTTCTTGAGGCAGCAAGCAGCACTGTTTGCTTATAAAAGATGCATAGAGCAGAATGTGTAGCTAAGATTTGCTGGTTTACTAATGCTAATAAAGATAAAAAGTAAGAAAAAGACATTTTGCATTTTACCCTAATTAAAGTGAGCTTTCCGTTTCATGCCATTTTGACTAGGAAGTGACCCAATGGTATGTTCAGTCAGAGGTAGATTCATAGATTCCTAGAGTCGGAAGGGACCTGGTAGATCATCGGGTCCAACACCCTGCACCAGGCAGGAAAGAGTATCATCGAGTCCGACCCCTTGCACCAGGCAGGACAGAGCACTGGGGTTAAGTAACCCCAGCCAGATGCCTGTCTAATCTCCTCTTGAACACCTCCAGGGCAGGAGAAAGCACCACCTCCCTTGGAAGCCCATTCCATATTTTGGCAACCCTCACCATAACGAATTTCTTCCTTATGTCCAATCTAAATCTGTTCTCCTTCAGTTTGTGGACATTACTTCTGATAACCCTGAGGAGTGCCCTGGTAAACAGATTGTCCCCTATTCCCTGCTGGCCCCCGCTAATGAGTTTGTAGGCAGCCACAACACTGCCTCTCAGCTTTCTCTTGAGGAGGCTGAAGAGATTCAGATCCCTCAGTCTGTCTTCATAGGGTCTTACCTGCAGGCCCTCAACCATACGCGTGGCCCTCCTCTGAACCCTCTCAAGGTTATCCACATCCCTCTTGAAGTGCGGTGCCCGAAACTGGACTCAGTACTCCATCTGCGGCTTCACCAATGCTGCATAGGTCCTCTGGGACCTGTCCCAAGTTCCACAAGTGCTCAGACAGCTGTGCCAATGGTTCTTCTATGTCGTTGGGCAATTCTTTTAGTACCCTTAGGTGAAGATAGTCAGGGCCTCTTGACTTAAATACATCCAACCCTTCCAAGTGCCCCTTCACTAGGTCAGTGCTAACCGTTGGTGGATTGGTATTATTCTCACTCCAGACTAAAGACTCATTAGGAGGTGCATTTGTATCCATGTTCAGGAAAACAGAAGCAAAGAAGTTATTTAACAGCTCTGCTTTTTCCATCCTATCAATTATGAGTTGCCTTAGTCAATTCTGTAGCGGTTCTGTTACCCTGCACCTTCTTCCTGCTCCCTATGTACTTAAAGAAGGACTTTGTTATCCTTAATCTTTGTTGCCAACTTGAGTTCCGCATCTGCTTTGGCCTTTCTCACTGCTTCCCTGCAAATGCAAGCCAAGTAGGTATACTCCTCTTTGGTGGCTGCCCCCTGCTTCCACAGCCTGTAGGCCTCTTTTTTCCTCTGAAGGCTCCTGGATTTCCTTGCTCAGCCAAGAAGGTTTCTTGGCTCTTTTGCCTCCCTTTGCGTGTACTGGGCTGGTGTCCCTCTGTGCCTGTAGGATCAGTTCTTTGAGGAACTCCCACCCTTCTTGGGCCCCCATCTCACAGATGCGATCACTTCTCAGTCCCACCCTAACCAATCTCCTGAGCTCATTCAAGTTGCCCTTCCCGAAGTCTAGCACTACTGCCCTACTATTTGTCTTTCCCACCTTATGCCAGATAGTGAATCCTATCACTTGGTGGTCACTATCCCCTAGGTTACCTTGTACCTGTAGCTCCCCCACCAAGTCCTTCCCTGAGGCCAGCACCAAGTCAAGTAAGGCATCTCCCCTACTGGGACTGCATACCTCCTGTGTTAGATGCAGGTCCTGTATGCTGGTTAAGAACCTATGTGAACGGGCAGACCTGGCCAACTGCTCCTCCCAGCAGATGTCTGGGTAATTTAGGTCACCCATGACAGCTAGGTCTTTTGAGCATGCTGCCTTTGAGAGCTGTTTTGAGAATTCTAGGTCTAACTCTTCCCCCTGGTGTGGGGGTCTGTAGTAGACCCCCCCACTACCAAGTCCCTTTCACCCCTACCCCCTTGTAATCTGACCAATAGGACTTCAATTTGCCCATCCTCTGCCCCATCTTTATTACAGAGGATATATAATGTACCCTAACATATAGAGCAATGCCCCCCCCCGGTCCTTCTTCCCCAGTCTATCCTGCCTGTATAGCCTGTAGCCTTGCCCAGTCATGGGTAGGGCCCCACCAGGTTTCTGTTAGACTAACCAGGTCAAGGTCTTTGTCTGCAATGAGTGCAAGTTCCTTCTGCTTGTTTCCCATACTTCTACCATTAGTATAGACACACCTAAGCCCCGCGATAGAATCAGGATAGGGGAATACTAAGGGCACCTTAGTGGGCCCTTTAGTATTTCCCACCTGTTCTTTATTCCCCTCCACTCACTAAACAAAACAATAATTCTTACTTCAAACTCTACAACACTCAGCTAGAGTTACGTATATCCCCCTCACACTGAAATCCAGGCAAACACCTCAAGGAAAGGAGGTGAAAGAACCTAAGATTTTTTTAGTGATATGGTTGTATGTATAAGACTCCAGAAATAACAGCAGAGTTTGATTAGCTGCTAGTAGAATACATATCAGATAAATACCCACCAAAAAGGAACAGGACAACAGTATAACTGACCTGAACATACTGTAAGTTACCAGTCAATGCCCTGCCCAGAAGATGCAATACAGCTGCAACCAGTGATGCTGGACTGCTAACAAAACTGAAGCTCTGTTACAGTAAGGGGACAGCCTGTGAGCTATGTTGTCAGTGGCATTCTAAACACAGCTTTTCAGTGCTCATGGGGAGAAAGTCACACCCCAAAATATCATTTAAAAAACCAATATGAAGGTCAGTTTAATTACTTGGAGTCTGTTTAGTTATTCAAAATATTTCCTGTTACACCAGCCATGGAGATAAGCAAACTACATTACCTGCATCAAAACCAAAACTTGGTACTATGTCCACTGTTCCGTGAAAGGCTCCAGCCCATGCTGAGGTAGCACTGGTGACAGCAGTAGGGTCTGTCTTTGTCACGTCACACTGCGGAGCAGGAATCCTGGCTGCACGTACTGAAGGCATCAGCAGGGATCCATATCGGGGGTCATGGTGTGAGCTGGGGTGATGATGGTGCATGTGTGGATGGGGGTGATGGCGATGCATGTACACATCATGCATGTGTGCATATGAAGGGCTCACCTGAGATGTTAAAGGATAATGCCAGGAATCTGATGCAGCAGGAGCAGGAGGCGGGGCAGTGTGATGAAGGCTGTGTCCTGGCCAGCTGCTAGGATCTGCTGTTGGGAAGGTGCTTGATGCAGTAACAGGGAAGTCAGGATGAGCTCCACTCAAACATGGTGGAGGTTGATAGGAGCCAGTCCAAAATGAAGTTGGAAAACTGCTCCGTTGACTTGAAATCGTTGAGCTCTCTGGAAGGGAAGAGAAGAAGATTGGAGTAACATTGCATTTACTCAAATACAAGCCGAGATTTTTTCCAGAATTAGCATGGGGAAAAAGCTTCTCATTTTACATTTGCATGCAAGAGAAAATCATTAAATACACTGCCTATCATTAAACTGCTGCCAAAAGCAGCATGTGCTCAGTAATGGAAACCAACTATGAAGTTGATTAAATGCAGTCAACACCAAGAAGGACTATAACACATGACCCATATTGGGCAAACATACTGATGGATACCTACCACAAGAATAGATTAATACAGCCTATCTAAATAAAATACGTATTAGTGCCCATTGCACACAGTCACCCTGAGCACCAACTCATTCAAGTCATGGTGAACCACTACATTTCGACTTCCTCTTCACTCTCACAGTTGAGCTGTGCTTTTCTTTCTTATTTCCAATTATTCCTGTTTCTTCACCAGCCTTAAATGTCGGGCAAACATTAAACGGGGCCCTAAATGGTTCACACAGAATCCCTCTGCCCCACCTCCCCCAGCCTGTTATGTATGATTAGTGTGGTCCTGCCTTCCATGAGGTGGAACCAGACCAGGTTGCACCTCATCTGTATATAGAATTTTAGAGGATCCCAGGGCTTGTGACAAGCACACCTGGTTCTAGACATGTCATGAATAGGAGGCTAATTAGCACGTGGATCTTTTGTTTTGTGGGGAGGAAGTATCTGAAGTACACACACATACTGACAGTGCTGAGCTATAAAGATCACCATGGCTTGAAATATTGTTGACTCTGCAAGGACCCAGGCCAATGAACTATGTGGTAAATCATGAGCCTTTTGGCTTTGGACTAATATCATGCATAGTTTCTACTATATATAAGTAGGTATATACAAGAAGGTATACATAAGAAGTTCTGTTTAAAAGTGTGTTTATGGAGTACCTTTGCTAAAACCTATAGCAATTTGCAAACAGGTAATATGCATCAATTCTGGATGAAATAAGTCTGTGGGTACCCATAATCATGCAGATTACTACAGGCATGTTTATTTTGAAGTCAGTGTTTTCCAATTTGCCCCTCACTTCCATGTGCTGAGGGATATTAGGGTCTGACAGTAAAGGGGCTGCAGGGGGAAAATATTGTGGGGGGAGGGGCAGATTTCAAGGGGGCTACCTGACCCCTCCCAGATTTATTTTCCCTGATATAGCAGTGGGAAGGGGGCAAATTCAAGGCTAACCTGCAATAATTAGATTCTACTTAACAAATTAATATTTTTCCCATATATAGAATCAAATTATTGAGAGCTTGTCTTATATTCAAGTAAATATGGTATATTTTAAATGACATCATTTAGTTTGAATTTGACCTCCTATATAACAGACTATGAAATCTCCCTTAGCAATTTCTGCATCAAACTCAAAACTTGTTTAGGCTACAATTTATAAAATTTCAAAACAAATATTCATCCTTAATTTTAAAACTTCACACGATAGTTAATGCTACTCTTTCAGTATAATTTCTCCCCCAAGGCTTGTGAATAAAGAGATGCACTTGAGTTAAGCATTTGCTACTTGTTTTTCCATGTGAGACTAACAGCCTGGGCCAGATTTTGTTATAACAACAGGTGCATAAATGGACTGGCACCTAAATGCAATACTATTCAACTCTACTTGAGTTCCTGAAAAACTGTTAAAACAATGGGTAGGTGATTTCTCCTCCCTCTCACTGCTTTCTTATGACTCAATCTTAAGGATAAAATAGAGGTTGTTACAAAAGTAGACAGCCTAATGAGCATTCAGGTACTCAAGCAGAGTGAACAGAATTGCATGTAGGCTCCTAGGTCCTCCTATATGTGTAATACATGTAATAGAATCTGGCCCATATAAATTTTAATTGATTAAGTGTTTTTATTGACGGGATCAAGCCTAATACATATTGAATTACAGAATTCAAAAGTGGCCTCACATCCAATATGATTTCTGTCACTGCACAGTCAGCAAAACTGACCATGGAAAATAAATGTTTTAGTGTTTTAAGTCCTCCTCCAGTAGAATTACTAACAGATATTGCAACTTGTCACATACTTTTGGGTAAAACTCCATCTATAAAACAACTTTAAACAAAATAAACTATTTAATGGGAAGTAGATTAAGTCTTCAATAAAAGACCTGTGTGCTTTCGCAATGTGGATTCAATATGTGCATGTTTAAACCCAATTCAATACCATTGTATTATGAAATCATATTTTTAAAAGTCCATCTTTTCAAGGAGTGGTGAGTGGGTTTGAACTGTGGTAAGAAAATGAACACGTCCAGAATTCTGGCTTCCTAGTCAAAAGTCCTGTTTTAAAGTCTTCCATTCTGAAATATTCCCCAATTTAAATAGAATTTTTTGGTCAAAGATGGAAATGTTAAAATTCAGGACTCTAGCCTGAACAGAGATAACAAAACCATAAAAATACCCCATGGAGAAAATAAAGTTGGGGAAAGTGGTGTGTAAGATCAGTTAGGGAATCCTCCTAAACCGTATAGAGTCCGCAAAAATATTTATACGATTTGACAAAAAATGACCTTTATTTTATTTTTTTAACAAGCAACTGCAGAAAAAGAGAGATTTGGGTGCAGACATCTTTAAGAATGAATGTGTGCTTCCAAACCCATTAATCTGGGTTCCTTTAAACAAAAATGTCCTTGAAAGATAAAACCTATAAAAATGCTTTGTCCGTCTGACTGCATCACTATAACATATTTATGGGTCTGACTCAAAATCCATTAGAATCAATGGGAGTCTTTCCGTCGTCTCCAACAGGATTTGAATCTGGCCACTTCAGCCAATTGAATATGAATAACTTCTAATACTGATATTTTCTTTGGCAAACACATTTTGGTTTTGTACATAAAAGTTACCTTCATACCAAACTGCTTCAAATGTTAAAAGGCTATCTAATAAAATACAACTCTGTGTCTTTATTTAAAAGTGTGATTCAGTTTTCTGTAATAAACTTTTCTAGCACCTCATACTAGAGGATCTCAATGTACTTCAGCAACTTTGCTTACCTACGCCTTGCATCGCTCCTCTGAAATAGGTATTATCCCCCATTTTACGAATAGGCAAAAAGAGTGCAAATAAACTGCCTACAGACTTGGTAACAAACTTTGAGTGGGGAAAGGGAAGGAGATGGTAGGTTTTCACTTGCAGATATTCAGGACAATCTAGTTAACATAGTATATTTGGACTTCAAAAAGCCTTTGACAAGGTCCCTCATCAGAGGCTCTTAATTAAATTAGGTAGTCACAGGATTACAGGGAAAGTTCACTGTGGGTTAAATGTTGGCTTAAAGATAGAAACCAAAGAGTGAGTATACATAGTCAGTTTTCAGGATGGAAAAAAAGTAAACAGCAGAGTCTCCCAGGGATCTGCATTGGGACCAGTGCTATTTAACATATTCATAACTGATCTGGAAAGGGGGATAAGTAGTGAGGTGGTCAAATTTGTGGATGACAAACAATTATTCAAAGTGGTAAAGACCAAAGCAGACTAAGCAACTACAGAAGGATGGTTGAGCAAATGGCAGTTGAAATTCAATGCAAGTAAGTCTAAAGTAATGCAGGTGGGAAAAAATAACCCAAACTATACCTGCAACATCTGGCTCTACATTAGCTGTTACCAAACAGGAAAGAGATCTGGGACTCTTTGTGGACACTACACTGAAAACATCAGCTCAGTGCTCAGCAGCTATCAGAAAGGCAAAGTAAATGGTAGGGATTATTAAAAAGGGGATTTTAAACCAAACTGAAAGTATCATTATGACCCTTCCTATATCCATGACAAATTCACACCTTGAATACTGTCCCCAGTTCTGGTCCTCAGAAAAAATATAGAAGAACAAGAGAAGGTACAGAGAAGGGCAACAAAGATGATTAATGTTATGGAGGTGTTTCCATGTGAGGAGAGACTAAAGTGGCTAGGCCTAGTTAGTTTAGAAAAAGAAACACTTAAGGGGGGACATGATAAGGGCTAACAAAATACTAAGTGTCAAAAGAAAGGAAATAGGGATTTATTATTTACTGTCTCTCACAGTACAAGAACTAGGGATTACAAAACAAAACTAGTAGGTAGTACGTTTAAAATTAACAAAAGGAAGTTCTTTTCCACACCATGTGCAATTCAAGTGTGGAGCTCGTTGCCACAAGATGTTTTGGAAGCTAACCGTTTAGCCCAATTCAAAAAAGGACTGGAAAAAAAATATTGGAGGAAAGGGACATCAGTAGCTACTGATAATGGGAGTTAGGGGTTCAGCTTCTGAATCAGAACTTCCTAGACCTTAAACGCTGGAGGCTTCAAGTGGGAGAGGAACAGTGGAAAAAACCCTGGTCATACATAGTTCACTCTCCCCTTCAGCATCCACTATGAGGCACAGGATACTGAGCAAAATGGATCTATGGTCCAGCCTAGTAAAAGGCAATTCTTATGTCCTTTGTTATCACCACTATATGATACAACCTTTCTTTAGATTAAAACAACAGAACTCAGCACTCTGTACCCAGTATTTTATCTTTATTTTCAGCAGAAATTGTTACAAACATTATAATGACTTTCAAGACACAGTAGCTCCAGAAATGAATCACCTCAAAAAAACAAGACCCTTAAGCAAAGAAATTGTTGTTTAACCACTCACTTAATATTATTAGCAATATGAGAAGAGCCTTCAACCAGCATATTTGTGAATATGAATTACAGGCCATATTGACAAAGTCAGCTAGACATACAATTGTTCTAAATTGGGTCTGAAGCATAAAAAAAAAAAAAAAAGTGTTGGATTCTCTCAGTCTAGTTCCTACTGAACAAGAGCCTGTTTGGAAAACCATTACCTGTGGCAGCACTTGGCTCTTGCTGTCACCTCAATTCCAATGCCAAGTGGTGAATGGGACAAGAAGTTCCCTTAGGGACAAGGTAGCCCCTAGTGCACACAGAAAGAATATTGACAAGGCAATTTAAACTCCCCTGCTCATTCTTTTCATCTTATGTGCATAAAAAAAGAAGACTGCCCACCAAGCCTATCAAACAGCTTTTTTTTTTTTTGCAGACACTAAATATATGATACTGTCAACAAAAATGTCCATTACATATTGTATCAGCCTCCGAGATGAACCACAGCCAACTATAGCACACATGAGGATGTATATTTCCATTATAGCTGAGGATTCTTCTTTCCCCTCACCTTACAAACTCTGCAAGTGTGGTCAATAGTTTTTGCCAGTGCTACATTCTAAGATACACAGGTAAGAGCCTAAGTCCTGTGGGGACATTTTAATAATGAAAAAACTATTTGGGTAGAGGAGGTGTTACTTTAACCATTCAGTGCTATCAACTGTGACACTGACCGTACAAAAGAAAATAATATACCAAATAACTTGAATTGGTCTTCATGAAAAATGAAATAAAATAAAAGCAGGGACAAGAAACATACTATAGCTACCACAACCATTTCCTATTCTGTGGGGGAGGCCAGAGGTTGCAATCTCTCAGGTACTACAGTGGTAACTAACTGCAATTCTTAACTATTTAGTAGTGGCAAACATGAAATGTATTGCACTGAAAACATGCCACGGTATGCGTGCTAGGAAGAAAATGGTTTATAAAAAATGTTCTGTAGTTACTGCTAAAGTGATTCTTTATTAGTGACTTGGACGACGGGGTGAAGTAAGAACCAGCAGCATACCTACAGGCTGGGGAACTCCCTTCCCAAAAGCACAGTGGCAGAAAGAGATCTTGAAGTCAATAATGACTCCAAGATGAACATGGGCTGAAAACGCGAGAACACAGTCATACCTTGTCCTGCATCCACAGGTGCATCACAAGCAGGGCCAAAGAGGTGATCCTCCCCCTGTATGCAACACTGGTCAGGCTGCAGCTGGCGTACGGCGTCTAATTCTGGGCGCCGCACTTCAGGAGGGATGTGGCCAGCATTGAGAGGGTCCAGAGGCCACTCAAACACCCACATTCACTGTCAGGGCAGCTAGGGTCCAGGGCCACTCGCATGATCTGGGGACAGCAGGGCAGGCCCTATGAGGAGAGGCTACGGGACCTGAACCTGTTCAGCCTTCGCAAGAGAAGGCTGAGGGGGGACCTGGTGGCTATCTATAAACTTACTAGGGGGGGGACCAGCAGGGTTTGGGAGAGACCTTGTTCCCCCGAGTGCCTCCCAGAGTAACAAGGAATAAACAGCCATAAGTTGCTAGAGAGTAGATTCAGGCTAGACATTAGAAGGCACTACTTCACAGTCAGGGCGGCTAGGATCTGGAACCAACTTCCAAGGGAAGTGGTGCTGGCTCCTACCCTGGGGATCTTTCAGAGGAGGCTCGACGTCTACCTAGCTGGGGCCATTTGAGCCCAGTTTTCTCTCCTGCCCAGGCAGGGGGTTGGACTAGAAAAATCTACAAGGTCCCTTCCGACCCTACATCTATGAAAAGGAAAAATATATTTGAATTATGAAAGAAAATGGGGGGAAAAATACCACTAATTCTAAAGACTTTTCCAAAGCTTAGATTTCAGTTTATTTTAACTGCATGGGAAGTTTGAAGAATCTGTATTATTTAATTTGTCAGGGATAAAAAGAAAAATAAAAGGTTTGACCCTGGGTACTAACTTTCTTAAAAGATCAATTTTAAAAATGAGCAATATAAACAACTTTTATTTTTTATTTGCAAACTTTTCTTTTGCAAATGCATTTGATATGTAAAAGAATAATGGATGCCACACACACACAAGTTGAACAGTTAAATACCTTAAGGTTAGCTGGGGTTTAGGTTGTAGCCATGTTGGTCTAAGGATATAGGCAGACAAGGTTAGCTGTGTTTTAACTTCTTATCTATGGAATCACAAATGGCACCTCCATCATGAATTCAAGTGAAAAAGTGGAAGGATAATATTATTATCCTTCTTTCAGGTCACAAGACAAATAATCCAAAAAAAGAATAATATGCAACTTGCTCCTACCCACTTCCACAATTTTTCTGCATCTTTCCAAAAGGCAATTATAAATGCAAATTATCAACTTCCTAAGAACATGGAGCCCGTACAAAGTAATATACATGTGCTGCACTGAGCTTCTTTAATCTTAATGAATGGACACTGAAGCATCTGAGTGACTTTCCCTCTTCCTTTTTTTTCCAAGCTGCTCTGTTTTAGACATTAGTTTGGCCATGACAAAATCCATTTCAGCCTTTTATCTTGAAAAACAAATATGCTCTTCATTCTCTGGGAGTGCGAACTACAGGATCTAGGGTACCTGGAATGCATGAAGAGCCTAGGGGGCAGGTAAAACCTCTTGCAGATCCCAGGAATACTTTCATACCACAGGGTTCTCTGCATCATGGGGAATTGTGAGTCAAGCATTCTTATCTGGACTACTGTCTGTCCCTTCAGAGCCCCAAGGGGAACCATGGAGACATCTTAGAGAAAAAGTGCATGGAGATATATGATGCCACAGAGATTATTGGCTTTTCCCCTTCTTCAATGTAAGATGTACAAGATTTCTATGCAGAGGGTCCTCTCTACTCACTGTTTGGGCAGTAGTATGATCATATTTGTATAAATATTTATAGCTCATCTGGAAGGACACGCTAGCCATTTCCAAATACTTGATCTTTCTTTGTAACAGTGAGGTTGATCCCATTCCTATTCAAGTCTGTTCAAGTTAATGTTCTCCTGTTTAAGTTAGTGGAAAAGCACCCATTCACTTTAATAATTCAGGGTTAAACCCTTGAGCTCCCCAGCCATTTTTGTTGCCCTTTGGTTCACATCCTCTTATTTGTTAATGTCTTTCTGGAAAGAAGATCATTTTGTATTATTTCTTTTTTCTCAGTGAAGTTCAAAATTCCTCTCTCTGTTTATCATCTGCAAGTGCTCCCTATTCAAGCTCATTCAGCAAGTTCAGTTTGCTGAATGATCCACTGGTCCTTGTGGTATCTTAACCTTCCCAACTTGATACACTTGTTAATGAACTTTTGCCTACAGCCCTTCTGCCAACTTACAGTCCATATAATTATAGAATGACTTCAGTTATACCATTACATTTTTGAGAGACTGCACAAAACAGTCCCTCTCTTTTTACAAAAATCAAATATCTCTCTTGCTCTTTTTCCCTTCACTAATTTTGTAATTCCCCAAAAACAAGCTGGTTTGGTAGCCAGAATTACTGCTTATCTATCTCGAGACATGTGCCTCCTATCTGTTTCTATAGTGTCTGGCTTCCTTACAATCTCTAATGTACTTATGCCTACAACCCTCCTCTAAGTATTGTATGATCCCCACTTTATGAAGGGGAACAAAGCCACTGAAACCCCGACTGTTTGTGGCATAGCAGGGAAATGGACGTGGGTCTTCTGACATCCTGGCTAACATTGTAACAATTAGCTTATCCTTTCCTTAACCTCCCTCTGGGGCCAAATTTTTCACACCGAGTAAGTGAGAGTTATACCTCAGTTCTTTCAGTAGTTCCCATAATAGCTGGTGCTGATCCCTCAGAGACCTCATCTTGAAGCACTGAGTATCAGGTGAATTTGAAGAGCCAAATTCCTCCAGACCTTTGATTCTTGCTCCCTAGTTGTAACACTTAGCCACTTACTTCCAAGAAATTCCTTGCTGCTTCCCTGAAGACCAAGGGGATATTTCCACCACCACCACAGATGCAAGATTCCAGCAGGAACGCAGTGTTTGCAGTCATGAAACAGGTTAAGCTAGACAACACAAGGTTAAACTCTTGTTTTTCTTACCTCTCCATAGAGGACTCAGACCTGCTTTGCTTTTTGAAAGGGCAGTTTCTGGGTTGAAGCTGCTGGCTTGGCTCAAAGCTCTTGAGAAGTGCTCATCCACTACTGAACCAATGTCTCCCTGGAAGTAAGTGAAAAGGACACAGCGAGAGTTAAGGTACTCCATCTCAGCAGGCTGGTCTTTCTCATCTTCCTCTTGTTTGCTGGGAAGGGTCACCTCCAGAGATTCTTGCATCTTGGCATACACTGCTAACTTCTTCTGGGATTAAAGAAAAAACACAACAAGAAAGTGGCAATCAATAGTGAAAGTCATTGGAAGCACAGAATTCTATGTCCTCAAAGAATCATTTTAAAGAAGCTGAAGATTCATTTCATTATGTCTTGCGCAAAACTGGTAAAACAAGGGGAAAAAACTTTCCCAAATAGTCATTAAAATATTTGATCCTGCTCTTAATTGAAGAAATGTTGAAAACTTTCTACACATTTCACTTAAAAGCATCACTTCCTCAATCCAAACTGTTCACTTTAGAACAGTTTCTTCCACCTCTACTCATTGTAAGCCCTACCTTACCCTGCAAGTAGCAGCAGCATGGAAGACAGGAGGGCTACATTTGGGATAGGGTGTTATTACATTAGAGTGAGGCAACAGAACCTGGTCCTTTGTAAGATGTTTCGTAGCACAAAGTAATGTCACTGACAGCAATGAGAAACCCAATTTCTTTCTTTTTTTTTTTTTAATCATGCAAGCCTGTGGGCCAAGCTTTTGGACAAAATACCAATATGTAAAAACAGAAAAAAGTCACAATAATGACCCCAAATCAGAAATAGTGAAACAACTATTGTGGGGGAGAAGGGGAAGCACTGGGGAAAATAAAAAGTTACAAGAAATATATGGCATAAGCCTGTGAATAGCTAGTCCAAACCCTTTTCTTTCTCATATCAAACTAAAATGTCAAAATAAATGTGTGTGAAGATCCATTTTGCATGGAACATATTTTTCAGATGTTCCACTTTACAACTGTTTTCACAGAAAAGTTCACCACAACAGGCAGACTACAGCAGCTCTCAGCCTCAGTCAGCCATTTCAACCCCCAGCTCTACACGCACACAGCTTCAGCAAAACACAAGCATGAGTGAAGCATACGTTCAATGAGCACTTCAGGACTTGATAGCTTCTTTAAAAATACAGCTCGATTCATCTTTTATGATTTGCTTGGCAACATTTTAGCACCATCAGTATTTCCACAAGTTCATAGCTTCTCCTCTTTCGTGAGTAGTTAGGTAGCACATTTCTCGTTCCTAAATAGTTCATAAATTTTCTTCTATAAAATAAATCAAGTATGCTTGTTGAAAGTATTTCATGTAACTGGCAGACTTCTACAATCTAGTGTACTATTGAAGCCTTGACATTTGGCTATTAAAATATACACACACAGTCACCGTGAAATAAGCTAGAAACACAAGAAATTCTTTTTAATAATAAATGATTACTAGAAGAGGCAGATAGTGAAAACTTGTTCATTGCAATGAGGCTAACTAATATTGCAATTAACAAATCTATATACTTGAAATGACCACAAGTCTACTATAACGTAAACTCACTGCAAAACTTAATCTTGGTTTATATCATTAAGATAGTTTCATTGCTGAATACTGCCACAACAAAGTAATAATTCAAAAAAATTATATTATTATGTTGTTCAAAGCTGTATGATGAATATAAACTATAAGTCACTTATTTTGTCAGTTTGAGGATATTATATACCTTTGGATATTCAAATCTGAATTATATTGATTACAGGGAAAGTCCCATTTTTGTAGTGCTTAATATAACCTTGCTTATTTAGACACAGCTTTATACCAAGCCACTCCTACATATATATAAAAGCTGAGAAAAGCAGATAAAATGAGCAATGACAGTAATAGCATAACTTGGACCTTTTATTTAGTAAACAAGATGTTTTGTTAAAGAACAACATCTCCTAACATCTGATTCTGCACTTTTCTTGGTTAAACACTTGCAATGAAGTGAGTAGTTTTAAACAATAACAATAAGCAATTGCTTGACACAGTGAATGTGGCTATAGAATGTATAATACTCATCTGTCACATGCCATACATCATATGATATTGGATAAATTGGGTATATTAGAAATTTATGATATTACATATATAGGGTGGTACCAGGTGTTCTTAGAGGTACAGAGTAACCCCTGTTCTATTAAAAAACAGGCTGAAAGTGTGTTTTTTTTTTTTAAATAGAAGTTTACACATGTCTAAACAGAAATTAACCAATAAAGTATATGTTCATGCCAAGCTGTAAGTATGCACAAAACACTTGAGAAGGTGGTTTATATCGTTACAAATATACCATTTGTATTTATACTGCCAGTATATCACTGCATGAGCATGAATGCAATTATATAGAGAAATACACTCTTCAGTATAGCCTCTGGCCTGACTTGGTAATCAGGAAGGAAGTCTTTCACTGTTCCTATATAGAGACTAGAGTTCAGGAAATTAAAACTTATCTCCAGAGTTGCTTCTGTGTGCAGGAATGTTCTCCTTTCCACAGTCTAAGAATCTGAATAATTTTCCATTTCAGTCTTCCTCCTTTTAACCAAGTTATGAGAGTAACCAATCAAAGTTATTCTATAAATTTATTTTGAAAACACTAAATCTTCAATATTACATTTTTTTTATTTAGTTTTAAGTGGTAGCATTGGGTATGTGTTAACATAAAACTATTTATAACCAAAAGTGATGGCTTTTGCAAAAATAAAAATAGGAGTTCTATGTTAAAATAAGATTTTAATTATTTATCAGTGATTCGATGGTTAGGGGAAAAAATTATTTTCAAAGATATATGTACCTTATACCACATGTATATGCAGCCAATCAAAATGCTGAGCCACAGTCAAACTTTGCTTCAGTAGACAGATTATTTTGAATGAGAAGCTATAATGAGACCACGTAACAGTGATGTAACATTTCCGTTAGCAAAGTACATTTTCTTTAACATATACTTTATTAATTCCACCTTCAGACTTTTTACAGGTTTTTTACAGTGCTGAGACACTTTTCCTAACCCCAAGACTGTGTCTCTATATTTGTACAGGTTACTGGAAAACTATTTAAGATTCTGAACCCTCCAAAATTTGGTTGGTTTGCCTAACCAGTCCAAGCTAACAGTCAAATTGCTGATAAGTACAAACTGTACTAAATCAATTGCTTTCATATATTTGTTTTAAGAGCAGTTCTGCTATATGTTTATGCAGCCACAAAATATATAAAAACAATATTCATAGATGTAACATCAGACTTTTGACTGCACGTGATGTAAGGCTTCATGGTGTAGCACTCCCCAGTCACTTCCCAATCTCCTGATGTTTATCTACTCACAATATCCTCCTGTCCCTTTCCCCACCATTTAAAGCCTACAAACCGTATAGTGGCAAGTTTTACAGCCTCTGCAAACCTATGTCACCATGTGGGCCAGAAAGTAGAATTAAAGCTTGGTTGAGCACATAGGGTGCCTAAAGACATGCTCATTTGCATTTTAATTAGAATGTGTCGGAACAGACTCGATTAATTGTTCTAATTAGAATACTCCAATGTCACCTCACCGTCACATGTATTAAGCCTCCACATGTTTCAAAATGGACGCTGGAGCACTTTATATAAACTTCACTGAATGAGCTTCAGATAAAGCATCCCACAGCCATTTTGAAATGTCCAGGGGCTTAATACACGTGACAATGAGTCATTTTAATTAGAGTGGCTGTCCAGGAACTGCTCTAATTAAAATGCTGCCCCACCCCCACCCGCGAGCACATATATAGGCAGCCATAGGGAAGAAAGAAGGCCAGTAAGGGCATTTGGTTCCTGTAGCAGCTTTCGGTCAAATTAGATCATGGAGAAATAATCCAGTACAATGGTTAGGCCGGCAGGTCAAGCATGTACATGTGCCACAGAAACTCTGAATAAGCAGAGGTGTACAATAGAAGTTGCATAAAATAAAGGTTGACTTTTTTTTAATTTATGAACCTTTCCATGGAGGAAAATGTAGTAGACTTGACTTTAGACCATTTTTGTGCTTTGCTTTAAGAAAGAGAAAGTCAGTAGCAAACCCTTAGTAACACTGACCCTTCTGAAAGTCCAGGTTGGTTAAGCATTCAGAATTTTGGGTGAGCATACAAACGTTGATCTTGAATCAAATTGATATGGCTGGATTCACTTTGCTGGTATATCTTTATTTACTAGCAAAATACTATTATAAGTCAGTTTTTCCAGCCAAGAGTGTTTTCCAGCCAAAATCTTGTGAAACTATCAGTTCTTTCACATTTCTAGTCCTTTCTTGAAAAGCCTATCCAGAACCGAGAAAAAGCTGTTCTCATAGAATGAAATTCTAGCCACATTAAAGCCAGTAGCAAAATACCAACTGACTTTAATGAGCCCAGGATTTCACCCCTAGTGTTTGGTGAAAATGCCTGAACATTCCTTCCATATATTGCTAATCCCCCTTCCAACTGCAATCAGCTTGCTGTGCAGTGGCATGGAAGGCAACCAAACTTATTTGAACTTTTCAAAATGTTTAGTTTAGCTTGGACTTGAATCAAGTATTCAGTGACATTTTAAGCCAATTCCTAATTTTATGCCCACAATGACTGCCTATTCCTACGAGTTACCAACCCTATACATACCATCATCCAGCATATGTTCTCCTATGCACAAAAGCATACAAGTCTAGTGGGCTTGTGACCACCTGTTACAGATTTTCCATTATGAGAGACAGAACAGGAACTGCAAATAAAGAAAAACTACACTGAGGAAACACCATACGACCCCCTTCAAAGAATACGGCCCGACACTTGATAGAAGCTTCTGAAAAAGAATGTTTGCAACAAACGTGAGCAGAAGGAGGAAAGTCTCCATATGCAGTACTTTCTGCCAGTGTGGCTGGCTCCTATATAATAAAGTATAAATCCTTAAATAAAAAGATGGAACAAAGGAGGAAGAAATCGAGCACTCAGAAGAGTATATTTCTCAAGGTAGCTCATGCCTAAAAGTTAGTATTCCCAGATCTGAAAATGTTAAGTGCTAATTGTTATCCTTAGAAATGAGTAAGTTATGAGATAAGCATGTGCAGAATGCAGAATGAAGTAGAGTATTTCTTTCATCTGCACCACTGTATTTGCAGCAATAGTGTAGGGA